CACACACACACACACACACACACACACACACAAAAAAAAAAAAAAAAAAAAAAAAAAGTATAGGACCGTCCTTCGCGTTCTCTTTCGTCTTCCTTCATTGAGATATAGTCCTTGCCCTTAAGGGAGGGGGGAAAAAGAAAAATCGGACATACCTCGAGAAACTTGAAGTCCGGCTGCAGGGTAAGGCAGATGCCCTCTTGAGTGAGGAGTGAACGGATAACTAATGAGAAACGTTCTGGGATTCGAATGGGATACTGGTAAACAAGCTCGTTGAACTTTCCTGCATGCACACAAACGAGCATTCAGATAAATCATCACATCAGAAAATTCCAAACAAAATGAACTTCACATAAATAGTATGTGTGACACACGGAAGACTTCTTGAAGTTGAAGAAACAAGCGGTTGCCCGCCGCAGGCATAGACGAGAAGTGGGAGGAGGGGTCCTCTTCTTCTATACATATACTACACTCCTTTTAAAAGCTAGCCTGGGCCTGTGTAACGGGCCCATGCAAAACCGGGCTCGGCGTGGTACCTCGGCCTTCGCAGGAACATTCCTGTTCCGTGGGCCACTCCCGAAGTATTATTCGGGAAGGCACCGGTGCATGGTTGAATACAAGTACATAGCTCTATTGGGCGATGTTTCTCAGGCCCACGAGCCTGGCGTCGTTTCTTGTTTTTTGTCATTTTTTCTGTCTTGCTACCCCCACGACCTGTAGAAATACCGCTGGCCTGAAGTTGGACACGATTGCTGGCAGATGCATTGCCAGTATGAGGATGCCCACACACCTGGCGTCTTTCAGTTTTTTTTTTTGTTGTTTGGTGGCTCTCTCTATAGGTGCACCCACGATCTGCAGAAATACAGCCCGAGGCTGGACGTGATTGCTGGTAGAATCAGCCTCAATCAGGTAGATACATTTAAAAAAGCGGCAGTGTGAGTTAGGGAGCATGGGGCCACGTCATTTCGGACACATGAGTAGGGGGGCAGGGGGCCGCGTCTTTTCAAACATGTGAGTAGGGGGAACTGAGGGCATTACTCACACTAGGACTTTTTCGGCGGATGTATACAACCGCTTTTCTGACCCCGCCTGGATGCACCTGACCGCAATTATGCCCACAGAAAAGCGGAAGAAGTCCTCGTCTTAGTATGCCCCCATGCGCGAATAAAAGTGCATAGCAGGCTGATGTGCAGGCTGATGAACAAGACATCCGCCCATTTCGTTTTCAAGGGTTTTTCACCTGTCCTTCGGGACACTGGTGCTCCTGCCAATGGATGACAGGCATAAATCAAGAAATGCCGGGTGGGGCACGTTGTGTTTTTCCGTGTTCTGAGCAGAGCAGTTTGTCGTCCCGCCACTTTCTTGTGTTAAGGGTCTTCCACCTGACCTTCGGGACATCCGAGTAGATTAGCATGCCCCTGCCAATGGATGATCGGCATAAATCGAGAAATGGGGGGGAAATACAAGTACATAGCAGGCTGGTAAAGAAGACACCTGTGCCTTTTTCTTCTTCTCTTTTATAAAAAGGGTGATGGCCTTGAGATATTATCATCGGGCCTGTTGGTTGTCCCTTATTTTTTCCGGGTTCATTTCACCTGTCCTTCGGGATATCTGAGTAGATTAGCATGCCCCTGCCAATGGATGACACATATAAATCAATAAATGTTCCAAATTAGAGAAAAGAAGAGAAGAGAAGGACAGACACCTCACAAGATGGAATTAGGGTGACATTGGGGACACTCACACTTGAGACTTTTTCGACAAAGCTCTAGACGTGATTGTGGTCAGGTTCAGATGCATTCTGCAATGTGCCACTGTGAGTCTGCCCTAAGAAGGATTTCAGCAGAGGTCTCTCTGTTGGTTGGTTTGTCTCTGTTTTTCCTTTCCTTGGGGGCATTTATACCCCCCTGACGACCTGACCCACATTGCATGGTTTGGGTCGTAGCCAAAAAGGGGTGCGGGTTTGGGCGTAATCGACCCAGAGCAAGAAATCACAACCTTCCTCTGTAATAAACCCATCACACACCTGCTTATGGCAAGAGACCCTCCTATGCCTCAAATTGGCATTCATTCAACTTGCCTACCTCGGCCCACCGACACTGCTGGAGCGACAAGTTCGTCTGTTGTCTTGGCTAACAAATATCGCCTGGACAACTTTGGGACGCCCAAAATCACACAGGGATGATAATTAGATGGACCCTGCAGAACAACCCCTCTGGGTAAACATCTCAGCCCTCTGGAGGAATAAGGGACACGGAAACCAACTAACACCCACAAGTTGGCATGAGGTGTGGAGGCGGCCGGTTTTTGACAACCCCCAAATATTGAGTGAGGATGGCTCACCACTCTCAATCAAAAACGAATCCCACTGGAGGGATATCCTGGGTCAAGAAGGGTATTTTTCTACAAGTGGGATCTATGGTATGTACAGTCTGGCACACGGAAATCCTCCCAGCAGATACAAGCCGCTGCTCGAAAACACCAAACAGGTGGAAGACAGACTACAACAACTGATAGAAGCCATCCCCTCGAGTTGGGAAATGGCACTAAAAAAGGACCTACAAAAGAAGATTGGGTAATACAAACTGCAGCCCGCCCAATCCCCATGGCAGTATACAAGATACACCGAGTATCACTGTATCAGCTCGCCATGTGTCTCTTTAGACCTATGACCTGGATCTGGTGGGTGCATGCTGGGCCCAGCTCACGCGAAACGGGTGGTCAGATTGCAGCATCCCAAAAGATGCAGTGATGTGTGTAAGTGTGGCGGGCATTGAAGAAAAGAGCTACTAAGCATACGCTGTCGAGCGCATCGGTCCGGCACCGCACGGGGCGGCGCGGGACCCTCTCGGCCAACTAAACATACGTACACCTCCAACCCGCTCCCCTGTGTGCCAATCACTCCGTCCCTACTGACACATAGAAGGACCAGGCCCTACTTACACAATTCCTCCTGGTTTTGCCTATACAACTGAGCCCTGCCCCCATCTGGAGCTTGCTCTACTATCCTGCCCTGCCTGTCATAGAACTTGCCGTCGACCTCTGCAACCCGCCCCTCGGCCTTATCCTCGAGGAGCTCTGGGCAGTCCACGGCTCTATGCCCTTCCTCCTTGCACCAAAAACAGGAGGTATCGTGCCACCTGGCAGTCTTCTTCTTTCTTCCCCGGGAACTCGACGCTGAAGGCGTCCCCATGGTCTCAGTGGTCACCTCATGGCACGAGGGCAAGCCCATATGGCCCTGAGGTTCGGTCTCCAGAGCCTCAGCGTCCTCACCCCCTCGTACGACTGCGCTCGCTGGCCCGCACTCTGGTGTGTCCAACTCTCGGGGTCCCTCCTCATGGGGCCTTTCTGTCACCACCACCACCTCGTCCCCACATGATCCCGACGGCTGAGAGCCCACCATAGCGGTGGGCTCACTCATGACCTCCTCCTGCTGCTGCTGCCGCAAGTCAGGCCCTCCTGAGTCCGTCCCCGTGGCCCAGGAGCCCAGCTCCGCCCTCAACTCTACCAACCTCGGGGCCTGCTCTGGAGCGTCAAGTCTCTGAGGCCCCTCCTGTGGAGTGCCTATCCCCATGGCTGCCGCCAGCTCATGCAAACGTGAACCTCTTCTCTCTGTGGACATAGCCATCCTCCTCCTCAGCTACGTCCAAGGGCACCTCCTCCATTGGCTCGGCCTGTTGAGGGACCTCCACTGTCGCTCCCTGACTCGGCGAAGCCTGCATCCCTCGGCCCTGGCCATCGGCACCGGCTCGCTCCACCTGGCTAGCCTCCCAGGCCGCCGAGAGCCTATCCACAGCGGCCGCCATCTCCCCTAATCTCCTCTCCCACTCAACCTCTCTAGCCCGGCTCCTCGCCTTCTCCTCGGCAAGCTGAGTAGTCAGGTGCTCCACCTCCAACTCTTTGACCCTGAGCTCATTGCTGAGTCGATTATACCACTGGAAGGACGTAACTGCCATCTCGCATACCCTCCGATCCATGCGCTCAATCGCCTGCCTGGTCGCGGAGAACCCCAAGTCCCCCATCTCCCTCAGCTCACCCGTCTCCTCGTCCGCCTGTCCTGCCTCTCGTGACCTCTGGCGGGCAGCATCCCTCTGGCTCTCATACCTAGCCCACAACTCGTCGATCCTCTGCTCGCTCATCTTGGGCTCGACCGGCGGTGTCGGCTCTATTCCTGCTGCCTCCATCTCAGCCTGCCTCACATGTATTTCATCCAAACGGACCCGCACTCGGGCGGACTTCTCTTCACGGGTCTCTCTTGGGGCTCCCCTCACTTGCGGCCCCTGGCCTTCCGGAGTCGACGCCTCCGCCCCCATCTCCTCGCTCGCGCACGACACTACTGGCGGTAGCTCCGCTGGAACGGGCTCCTCAATATCTGGGCTCTTGGTCACGTGCGTGGCCGATGGCAAGTCAAAGGGCGCCTCCATCCTCGCTCCCTTGCCCGCCCCGCGCTCCTCCATCTCTACCTCCTGCTCAGGCGCCGCAGTGGCCCCTGGGGGAGACTCCGGGATCTCTTCGCTACCTAGTTCCGGAATCCCCTCTGGCCATAAATGTTGCGTTGGCTCCGAAACTGGGGAGCGTGGAGGGGTATCGTCTCCGACCGTGATCACCTCTCTACCCTGAGGTCGTACCGGATCCGGCCGCTCGGCTGCCATCTCAGGATCCTGCGACTCCTCTCGGTCTTGCATGTCTGTCTCCATCTCGGGGTCGAGGGGTTCCTCCAATGGCACGTAGCACGCCGGCTCAACTGAGCCCTCTCCCAGCCGTGAGGCCTCCCATTGGGATACATCGAGATGAGTCGCTAAGCTTCGGAATGGCGTCTCTCTTGGTATGTCCAGCTCCTGTGTTGATGGCAATGGTGGGGGCGATCTCAACCCCTTACTCGTAATCCGCCGAAACTCGACTGCCCGGAGGCCACAAGCAGGGAACGACTCCTCTGCCAATGCGGGCCCTGCGGGCTCATCCTCCTGCCGTGCTGGGGCCCCCCTCCTCTCTATGGCCAGCCCCACCTCTCTCGGTGCCGATTCCCTCGGTCTCTTGCTTCGCCGTCGGCTCTCAACCCTGGGCTCGTGCCTCTCGTGCTGTGGCCGTCCGAACGCCCTCCTAAGCTGGGCCTGACAGTCCTCCCAGTCTTGAGCCCTTTCCCGAATCTGTTTGGCCACCTGCCTCTCTGCCTGCCTCGTCCAGATAAGTAGGGCCTGTACCCATTCCTCCCGCGCAACCCCCAGACTCAACATGTAGTGCTCATATGCGGGGATGAACTCATCTGCGTTCCCCTCCTCCAATCGAATGGGCATGCCATCACGCCCCCTAGGGGAAGCTCTCAACCTCTGCATCCCGGCCTCCACTTCTGGCCAAGTCAGGGCCTCCTCACATATCTGAGCGACAGGCTCCTGGAACCGCCCTACACCCCTATTCCTAACGAGGTCTCATGGCCCCTTACCTATTCCCTGGCCACGAACTTCTTCAGCCTTGTCCCTGATACCCAGTCCTGCCACCCTGCACCATCCAGCTCTTCGATTTGGTAAGCCCCAAACTCGCCACACCGCACGATCCTATAGGGTCCCAGCCACCGTTTGTCGAGTTTCCTAGACCATTGCTTTTCCAGCGAGGAGTCATACAGCAGCACCGCATCCCCAACTTTCAGTGGATCCTTCCTTATTCGGGCCATCTGGTCCCATCTCATCTTGTCTTCCATACGACTTCTCTCTACCTGACCAGCGGCCTCTCGTACAGTTTCATCAGCGGCCCCCACCTGTCGCACCCGTATATCGAGCAGTTCTTCAAAGGACAGGTTCACTTCCAGGTCCTGTCGCCTCCACGTCTTCATGAAACTCTTTATGGGAAAGGTAGCATGCCTCCCGTACCATAGAGTGGCCGGCGCATACTTCGTAGTCCTTTTTACTGTAACATTCTCCACGAAGAATGCTGCTCTCAGGAACTTCGGCCACTGGTTAGGCTTCCCCTCAATCTATTTAGCCAGGAGATTCGTGATGGTACTATGCCCCCTTTCCATAGGTGCGTTTGCCTGGGGGTGTGCGGCAGTAGTATAGTTTGCTACCACGCCGTACCCCGCAAGTAAGGTCCGCACCTCGTTGCAAGTGAACTCCGACCCCCGGTCCATCACAAACTCTCTTACAAATGGATAGCGCAAGTAGTATTCTTCGATGCACCTTGCTAAAACTGGGCCAATTTTCGTGCGGATTGCCCGACCGTCTACGAACGCGGTAAGGTTGTCCCGTGCATCAAAGATATAGTTACTTCCATCCTCCCCGAGTGGCATGAGCAATAGGTCCAAGTGTACGACTGCACCCACTTCCCTTTCCAGCCTGGGGTGCAGAGGCTCCCCAGGCCTTTGTGCTGACCTCAGTTGGCAAGGCACACAGTACTGGCAGTACTTGATGACCATAGTCAACATTCCATCCCAGTGGTATAACTCACTTATCTTTGCGCACGTGGCACTAACCCCTCTATGCCCCCCTGCTATACCATCGTGTAATGCTGCTATGACATCAATCTGCCGGTTCCTCCCACATATGATCCTCTTGGGGTTCCCAACCTGTCGCTTTATAAACAGGTGGCCATCTCTTACTACGTAGAGATGCCTCATCTTCTGGGCTTTAGCACTTGCGTCTCTATCCCTTATCTCACATGACAGGAGTAACCCCAATTCCCGATAGATCCCATCATATTCTTCTGCGCGGAAGGCCTCCCTAATCTCTCCCTCTTCGAACTCGTCGTCATGGCTTCCAGGAATAAGAAGCTCGCCCTCCTCGGAACCGGCTGCGCTCCTCTGGTTAAAGTCCCCCTGCAGGAGCGTGTTGGTGAGCAAGTACATTCCTCCCATTAGTTGCTCATGCTCCTCTACCTGGGTTGGGCCTTCCTCTATCGTCCTTACTTCCTCCGCTAGACTATGTGTTCCTGCCAATGCCAACCTCATCATCCATCCAATATCCCTACTCCCCCACGGATCTTCTTCCTGGAAGGGCTTGAGGACCAACTCCTCCTTTTGCTCGTACCCCCTTGGTGCTAACCATATAGGATGCGTGACGCAGCTGGGCACCCTCAGCGACCACTCATTTATGTGGAGGCGGACATCCTCCTCCTGATCCAGGAACCCGTCGACTGGTGGGGTATCCTCAATTGATTCCTGATTCGCCCCGTCCCAGTTGATACGGCTTAACCCGTCCGCCCTGTTTTTGTCCCCTGGAATCCTCTCCAATTCAAAGTTAAACATCCAAATGTAGGTCAACCATCTCGCGATGGTTGGGTCAGATGGAGTATAACTTTTCAGGGAACACGTCAGCGCAGTAGGGTCCACCCTCAAAACGAGCCTCCTGCCAAAGATATAGTTACGGAAGGTCCTCAAGCAGTGGAGTACCGCCAGCGTCTCCTTTTTCAACTGAGAGTAGTTCCTCTTAGTCGTATTGAGGGTACGACTTTCAAATCTTAGCGGCCTCTCCTTCCCATCCGCATCCGCTTGGATCAGGACCCCTCCTAAGGCAGTTGGCCCGGCGTCGGTCTCGACAACGAATGGCTTTTCCTCCGTGGCCTCATAATTCGGCGCTCCCAGCACCAAGCCTCCTTCCTTGAATTCTCTCTTCATCCTTTCCACAGCCTTTTCCTGGTCCTCGCCCCAGACCCATTCCCGATCCTGACGCACCAGCTTCCTTAAATGCTCCGTCTTGGTGGCGAAGTCTTTCACAAAACTTCTCCGAAACCCGCATGTCCCAAGGAAGCTCCTCACGTCCGTTATCGACTGGAAGGGGACTGACCACTCTAGGATCTTGTCCGTCTTCTTCACATCCGGCCTCCGCCCTTTCTCGTTGCAGACAAAGCCCAGAATCGTGGCCTCCCTCATACAATGCTTCGACTTGGGGCCGCTCGCCGTCAGGTTGTGTTCTTCCAACAGACCCAGGACCTGATCAATATCCTGGATGTGCTTCTAGACAAACCGCCTTACTCCTGGCAGCACTTCGTCTACCTCATTCTCCTTTGGACCCTTAACCGCCAAATCGTCAATGTAGGGTTGAGTGATATGTGGACTAACCGTCTGCATGGCCCTAATCATGTGCCTTTGCACCATTGCCACCGCATTAGTCCACCCCTGAGGCGCCACGTTCATGTGGATCAGCCCCCTTGGCGTATGCATCGCCGTCACCGACCTATCCGGCGGGTACACAGGAAACTGGTCATACCCAGAATAAAGGTCTATAAGTGAGATTATAGGCCTCCCTGCGCATGACTCTGACAGGGCGTCCGCGTTCGGCAATCCTCCCGCATTCCGCACCATCACTGCATTCAATCGTTGCAAATCCTGCACCCACCGTAGCGTTCCGTTCGGCTTGATAAAACAAAACCAGGGGGAAGCATACGACTGGAGTAATCCGCCACATACGTCCTCATCTTCCCATCCAAGTAATCCACCACCTTCTTCTCCTCATCCGGATTCGGGTACCGTGCGCCTCTCAGGTTCCACGGTTCATGTGGGACGGTATGGATTCGTATCATCGGGATCTTATCCACGTCCAACCTCCCACGCTCGTCATCATTAAACGCATACGCGCAATGCCTCCTCTTCATGGTCTCCACCATCAAGGTCCTCTCCTGGGGCGAAAGGAAACCCGGCTCGCCAATTATCAGCCCCTCCCCGTTCTCATCATTGATGCGGCACGGCCCTGCCTGCGCGCGCTCCCGCATACGCCTTATCAGCCCTCGCTCCCGCTCATAATAGGCTTCCTCATCCTCCGTGACAAGCACGGGGACCGGGCGACACTTCTTATCTATAGTCTTGTACCGCCTTTGGGAGCCCTGCTTAAGCCCTCCCCTAAAACAGGCCGGCTTGCCGTTCGGGCCTGGGCCATCGCAGGGTCCCCTTTCCTCCCGGGAAGCCGATAGATCAGCTCCACTTCTCCCACCTGAGGGCTCTCCAGGACCTGTTCCCTTAATGCCTTTATAGACTCAGGGTCCACCATATCATGCGCCGCCACCACCTCCATTGCCTTATTCACATCGTTAAGGCTCAGGGACAACACCTCGCCTGCTCCTTCCTCCTCCTGCTCCTCCCGGAGTCTCCGTCGCGCGTACTCAGACTCCTCGAAGGTAAAGGAGCCGAGGTTGAGCTTGTTCCTCCCACTTTCGGGTCCTGTGTTCCGGCACTTGATGATTTCGTAATTCTCGCAGGCCGGATCAGATAGAGCCAGGATCATCGTCCCCTCATGCCTGTTGAAGACCAAGGTCTCCGTCCGACAGAGGAACGACCTCCCCAGAAGGATAGGGTGGTCGACGTCGGGCATAACGAAGAAGCACGTTCGCGCCCTTACCCTCCCGATCTCCACCATCACATTAGACGCGGTGCCGCAGAATATGGCCTTGCAGTTGGCGCCATGCAGCACGCCATGGTCCGAATGGTCAACTTCCAACCCTAACATAGTCGCGTCC